GAGAGTGAGGGGGAGAGTCATACATGTAGCTATTTATTCAGTGTCTACAAAAACTTCTATGGACTTGGAGCTGGGCCCTGGAAATCTCTGGAAAAGACATATTTACCAGCCATGCTTTGTTTCCAGGATTTAATCAGGCTGAAAATCACAGGCTTTTGCTGCAATGCAACCACTCTTTGGCTGGAAGTGGGGTCCATATTTCTGAGACAGTCTGTAAGGAGAAGGGAGAGGTTTTCAGTTTATGAGACACTTTCTGCCGTGAAGTTACAGGACATCATTTTTCACTGGAGCAGCAGAGGCACACACTGCTGTGACCTGAGATCAGGATCTGGTCCCCCACAAGGGTTCCCTTCCAGGGATGTCCTTTTTGGATGCTGGATGGTGTCTAGACATCAGTTTGATTATCCCCAGGTTCATGACTCATGATGGCCACCATTATTCCCACGAGATTGCTTGCTGATGACTGGCACTGTGCTGATTTGCCTCGTACCACCAGCCAAACTGAAGTGCTTATAGTGCTCATCTTTTCCCCCACTGCATGGATTTTCTGAAATGTCTGAGAAGCAGCTCCTGGTACAACCACCCACCAGATGAAATTGCCCCAGGGTTAACCTTTGAGACAGGCTAAGTGACAAGTATCATTAATCAGAGCAAATAATAGCAAAAAAAAAAAAAAGATATTTACTGGGATTTAGTTCACCAAAAGGAAAGGACAGTACAGTGTGGCACACCAGCTCATACCTTTGTTGGCTATAACACAGCACAGCTCTGTAAGGTTTAGCAGATTTGTACCACACAGCTTCACACAAGGTTTTGCCTCTCCCCCTTAAAATTCCCCTTCCAGAAAACTATTCCTTTTGGAAAAAAAATTAAAATAAAAAGTCTCCTAGTCTGTGTCCAGGCAACTTCAAAGGATCAGAGCTAGGATTTGCCCTGGGATAGTCAGAGATGGGTACCTGGGTCCTACTCCAGTCTGACTCTAGAACAGCCAGGGCAGCAGCAGCTTTGCTGGTACCTTTGTAGTGCAGCTCTGCTGCTATCTCTGTGAGCATCTGTCATGGGTGGTGATGAGAAACAAGTAATTAGGGGTGGTCTATATCAGGGTGATGGAAAATAACCTGCTTGCAGAGACAAACACAACTGCCAGTAGTGTCAGACTGCAGGGAGGGGCCCCTCTCCCTTCCAGCCAGGTAACACATTAATTGGGCTGTGTGCCTGTTGCAAGTGAAGTCACAAGTTGGTATGCTGAGCACAGGCTGTGAGCTTGGTGACAGTGACAGATGGGAGACAATTAAATAACTGCAGTTATATCCAGGTTAGGGAGAGAGCAGATCCCCTTTTGAACTGGATTTGTGGTGCACAGGTATGCCCACAACCTGGGGTTAGCAATGACACATGCCAACTGCCCACTGTGTTTACAAGCTTCTTGTTCACACCTGCCTGTGCATTTCAGACCCTACCCTGGCCTTACAGAACCCTCTCCATTCCCCAACCAGAATGGAGGTCTGCTCTTTAGTAAAGCCTTGTTTGGTCTCTTGGCTTGATGTCTCAAGGCTGGATGTCTAATTTCACCTTAGCACAGTCTCTAAGCTCAGCTGTCTCCCCGAGCCATGCCCAGCCAGCTTTAATTCTCCTGCAGGTAGATAGAATCAGCATTCAGGAATGACACAAAGTGTCAAACCCCACTCACCATAATGAGCTGCCCAAGGCATTCAGCTCAGGTGTTAGGGTTTCACCTGCTATGGGAAGTGCAAGGCACTGGAGAGTGGCAGCAGGAGGTGTCAGAATGCTGCAGAGACAGGCTGGGATGCTCGTGCTGGGTAAGAACCAGCACAAAGGAGACCAGCCTGACCTCTCACCCTCCTCCCAGATGTTTTGTTCCAAGACAGAAGACAGAGCAGCTGGGAATGGCAGAGGCAGCAGTGGTGGAATGAGCCCTGCACCATTTTGTAGCTCCTTCCAGCAATGCCAGGGACCAAGCACTGCCTATTTTTAGCTGCCGAGGTAGCTGAAATACCACCGAGATGTTCATTAACAGCAGCCCTGTCGGGTGGGAGCTGCAAGGCAGGGGAATGGGGGGCTGGTTTGCCTGTTTTGTTTTGCTTTATTTAATTGCTGGCTGCAGTACAGAGGCAGAGCGTGGCAGGAGGCTCAGCTCCTCTCACCTCGGGAAAAGCAGGAGCAGCACACCCAGGGGAGGCAGGCAGGGAAAAGTCAATCAGGCAGTATTTAAAAATCTACCTGCTGGGCCCAGGGGGAGTTGGAGATTTTAATGTCATTCCCAGCTTGAGACACAGCCTGGAGAGTGAGAAAAGAAAGGGGTATCTTCTCTTCTTGGATCCTTAATTGCTCGTTAAATCATCTAACAAATGCCTGAACTCCTGGATGGCCCCATGCTCCTTAAGAGAGGGACTTCAGCCTTGGCAGGGGGAAGGAGTATTTTTAAAAGTACTCATTGCACCTGCTTTTTCTGGATCTGTGAAACCAAGAGTTCAGTGGTTCACTCTGTAAAATAAAACTAAGTCTGGAATATTGTTACTACTGTTCAGCAGAAGCAATAAACTTTCCTTTGAGATCTTCCCCAGTTTCAGCCTGCTGACTCTGTCTGCCCTGCAGGCAGGTGTCCATGCTGTGGGAGGAGAGCCTCTCCTGTCCCCAAAAGGGACCTCCAGTAACTGCAGAGGAGCAGGTACCAAAATAATCCCCTGCCCTACGTGCTCAGCCCCACTTCTGGCCCGACAGACTCACAGAAAACCACAGCCAGAAATGTCTGTGCCTGGTCACTCCCATTCTGCCTTGTCATTGCTGTTCATCTCTGTCTTCTGCTCAAAACCCCCCTGTGCTGGGTCTTACTCACAGGGAGCTGCCACAAGTCTCAGTAGTTGAAAAGGTGATGCAGCTATTTCCCAGCACAGAAAATATGATGTCTGTGCCATTGCCTCTGATGTTTTGCAAAAAAGCAGCCTGCAGTTAAATCCACAAAACTCAGAAGAAGCCCAGACCATGCAAGTGACAGCTGGAGAGCTTCAAATGTGCTTTGCCATGCAGACAGATGGACAGATCTGTGACTTATACCTGTAACCCCCTCCAGCAGTCAAGATAACACACAAAGGCATCTTTCTACCTGACTGGAAGCATGGATGCTTTTCCTGCATCACCCATACACAAATACTGGGGCCAAGGCAGACTGCAGCCATTAGCAGGTTTTAGGTCATTTAGAGTCTGTGAAAAGAGCAGAACTGCTGCTCCAGCAGGGCAGGCAAACCATACAGATGATTTATGAATATTCACTCAGCTCACAAAGCACTCCAGGGCAGAAAACAAGCTTTTGAAATTAACTGAACTCTTCAAGGTTCTTCGTTTGTCTTGGCTTTGAGGTGTGAGTCACCAATATTTTTTCTCCAAAATGAGCAGAGTCTGTACAGAGGGCTGGGAGGATTCCTGGGCACTAAAATATGAAGTTAAGTGCCCTGTGAGAAAGATTTTATGTTCATAAAGGCTTCAAAGCATAGAGTCCACCCCATTAAGTTTTATGGGATACAATCCTGAGACATACAGTACTGAGACTTCTTCAGCCCATAAAGGCTGCATGTTCAGGGCACCTGAGGCTCTTTCATTGAGCACTAAAATCTCCAGCAGCTTCAGTCTCCAGTGCTTTCGGTTTGGTGCCCTGCAATTTTTCCACAGTTTCAGTGTTCAACAGAGAGGTTACAGATTCTGATCCTGACCATGCAGAGCCTGCCATACACTTGTCATTCCCATCCATACAATAAGGTTATTGTGGTGCTCCTCACTTCTAATTGTCCCCAGCAAAGTGTGAGCAGAGCCTGCACTCCCTTCTCGAGATTTGTGTTTCTGGTCTGCACTTGCTGGCTTAGATCAAACACCCTGGAAGGCAAAGATTTCCACCTGCATTTGGCCAAGAATGGGTTCAGTCTAGCACACAAGAAACAAAAGAGTAAAACAAGAAATCTTCACAAGTTTGCTGCACACACACAAGGAACAAGAGCTCCTCTTTTCCAATTAATTATAGCAATAATAACTGGGTTTGTTTCAGCTAGTAGAAATATGAGATTTTCAAAGCAATGAAAGAAAATCTCTGCAGATTAGTCAACATCCCAAGGGTTTCAGGAGTCTGTGGGTGCTGTGGGAGTTTACTTCTTGCAGAGCAAGCAGAGGGGGTCATGAATTTTGGTGCCCTTCTTCACAAACGAGTGAGGCATAAGTCACTGTAGACTATTACAGGAAGGCTGAACTCAGCTGTTCCAAGGCTGTCTAGACATTCCCATCCTAAATCTGAGACATCTTCCAGACCCAAGTTGTGTCAGAGCACTATCCTCCAGAAAACGTTGCTGTCCCAGTGAATCTCATTTTTTCTCACCAAAAAAGATTCCATCTGAAAGTGGCCAGCTGGCCCTGCCCCCACTGCCATGCTCTGTAGCCGTGGGAGATTCCTCTCCCTCTGAGTCACAGAGCACCACAGCCAGACAAGGTGGTCTGCATTAACATGAATTAGCCCTCCTAGCAGGGGCTCATAGCAAAAAAACAAGAATTTAGGAAAAGCAGTAAAGCAGCATCTGGAAAAAATTGTTTCTGGAGTCTTTCTGCAGTTCTTTCTGATACAAAGCCCCCACTTCAGCAAGTTTCCATTTCCAGTTAAAGCAAGGCGTTGTTGCTAACAATTTTAAGTACCCTTGTACATGTATGAACTCCTATCTGTTCCCATGAAATTCCACACGTGCAGTGCAGACTGCTTTGTCTGTTGAATAGAAATATTTGTTGATATGAGGCAGATTGCACAAGCAATCTTTTTCCTTGTGATTTCCTTCCTCCATCCTCCTCTTGCCCTTTCAGCTGGATCACACAGTGTGGATGTTAAAGCCCCATCTTGAGAAACACGGCCTCTTTACTCCTGATGGTTTGGTGAAGTGTTTGTGAAATCTCTGGCTCCAAATTCTGCCTGAAGCATCTATGTGAGCTCTTGTTGCTTTCCTCTGCAGGCTGATGCCAAGATGGTCTGCGATGTCGTAAGTCGGATGGAGGACACAGAGCCCTTCTCTCCAGAGCTGCTGTCAGCTATGATGAGGCTCTGGGCAGATTCTGGGATCCAGGAATGCTTCAACCGGTCCCGGGAATATCAGCTCAACGACTCAGCCCAATAGTGAGTATCCCTTCCATGGCCTTGCACGTTAAAAAGCTGCATTTGGATTTGGTAAAGTTTTGACTGAAGTGAATGATCTCATAGCAGTGGAGCTGAACGTGTCTCTGCTTACAGTGTGGATGTGTGTTGTGTCACAGGCCACTGCAAAGCACAAAGGATCAGGCAGGACATTCATGTCCCCTCTTGGCCAGGCTGGGGTCAGGTCTGTGACCCCAAGCCAGGTTCCCAAACAGCTCCCACATGTCTCAAGGTAGGTTCTTGCAAACATGGATCTAGTGAATTTAGGCAGATCAACCTGCAGGCACAGCAGATGGCTTCTTTGTCTGACTGAGAACAGAAGGGTGTGATCACCTGCTTTGTACAGCAGTACAGCTCTTGGGTTTGCTTTTCTGTCCTCTGTTTGCTTTTCTTTCCCACTGTACTTTCTGTAGTTGTACAGTGTACTGAAAGGTCAACTGGATTACAACCAAGCCTAAGGGACACCTTTACTTTTCCAGGGGTATTGAGTTACTCTTGTGATACAGTCAGTGGCTTCTCGACCATTAGGGACCACATCCAGATGTCATTTAGTGGGAATTGTCTGAATCCATGGCTTTGGCTCATACTGTCATGAGGACAGACATCCACCCATAAATGGGGCTCTGAAGAGATGTTCAGTGTCTCCCCAGTTTCAGTTCAGACCTACTTGTAATGATAATTGATCCAATACATTTGCTTCCACCTAGGCCAAGAGACCAAAGGCTTTCATCCCATAATTTCAACCATAGGATCTGTTGCAGTCAGGCAAAATGCCCCTGGCCCTGGACTGTCTTGGGCAAGAGTCAGCCAAAAGTGGTAAAGTATAAACATAAGGACCAGGCAGGCAGAGAGAATTCATTTCTCCAGCTGTACCCTTGGACCTTTTGGTAATCAGGGAAACAGAAACTTCCCAATGGTGTCAGGCAATGCTATGTCCATGCTTTTGGCTGTCACAATATCCCACATCAACAAGTTCAGCAGCTGTTTCCTACACTTCTGGAGTTGTTATCGTGTTTGGATTGTGTTTGGATTGTTTGGCATCTCAGCTTGGGGTGTTCCTGGATATCAAACACACAGCCCAGGCACTGCTGTGGCTGCTGGTTTTGTTCTGTGTGGTGGGGCTGGTGCTCCAGCTGCACCAGCTGCTGCCACCCAAGCTGGCAGGGCAGCTGGGGAGAGCAGCTCTTGAGGTACTGCAGCAGAAGGCAAGTGATGAAACATCATTTGGCATTGATGGAAAACTGGATGGGAAGCCTGCAGATGTGTGGTGGTGACACAGCATCCCACCCAACCGTGATCACACCTCAGAGATGATCCTGGCATTCTGCTGCCTTTTAATCAGTACTAGGTGGATGATGGTTTTAATCTGGATTTCATTGCCTCTAGTAGAAAAATAAGCTTTGTCTTGCCAGCAGCTTTTTCTTTTTTTTTCTTCTTTTTTCACAAAATAAGGGTATGATGGCATAAACATACCTTTAGAGATATAAATTATCTAAAATGCCAGTCCTAATTGCATTACACCTTTGTGAAAAAACCTTCAATTGTTTTAGAGCCAATTACCTTGAGGAAAGTATTTTGATTTTCCTTCCATGCAAGATAGCAGTTGAAAATAATAAGCAGAGCCCTCCCAATATGACCAGCTGCTGTGCAATTCATCAGCAAGAGCTCTGAAACCACAATCAGTTTCTAGACATCAACTGAAGAGCCTCTGTGCTGTAGCATTCACAGCAATTGCAATCTAGGGGTTGCAGCCCAGCCAAATGAATTCTGGTGTCTCTGACAAGATCTCCTGCATCCAGATGAGGATGGGTGGCCCTCTGTGCCAGGGCAGTGCTGTGATGCCTCTCTCTTAGCTGCACTGTGAGCTGTGCTGTGGCTGGACACCTTTTCTCTCTGGGCCAGGTTGGATGGGGAAGCTGGAGATAACCAAGTCCTTCTCATTTACAGCCCTGCTGGTGCTCAGGAGCCTCTGGTGGTTCCACCACTGGGAGCAAAGATGTTGTCACATGGCAGGGCACCAAAACACATCCTTCTGCACCTCTAGGCCTTGGTGCCATCACAGGACATGGTGGTGCAAGTGAGAGCTCAGATGGCACTGATTCACGCCCAGTGGACTCCCAGTGAAAAAAAGCAAATATTTTATTTAATTCTTCAATGCTTTGGGGTTGTTTACTTCTGCATGAGTGGAAGATTTGAGATAGTTTTATATTTTTTTCCCACCCTGGGAAAAGGCTTGTCTTTATTGACAGTGATAATTTAAATCACTAACAACTACAAAATGTCTTTTCATTAGGTGCGAGAAAAATAAATTCCAGACAAGAACTGAATTCTAAGTTCCCCCAAGTCTGAAAAACAGTGACAGGCAGTGAGCTGCACTAGCATTTCATTTCAGGCTTCTCTTGGTGTTAAGCCTTAGGGACTGGCATTTTCCTGGCAGGAGGGAAGTTTCCTGCAGGAGTTGGAGATTGTGCTCCATAGCTGCTCAGCACGTGCCACAAGGCCTGAAGGCACCAGTGGCCTGAAGGCACCAAGTGGCCTGAAGGCACCAAGTGGCCAGGTCGTGTTGTGGCCAGCACAGGTGAGACCTTCAGGAGTGCTCTGGGCACTTCCCTTCACTCCACAACCACCCACCAAATGCCCTGAATGCTCTCAGAGCCTCCCCCTGCTGCTTGGCTATTTCTAAGGAGCCACCACCTGGGCCTCTCTGAGTCAGTGCTGCTGTTGTCTTTAATTGTTCTTCCAGTGCTTTACCTTGAGTTTTTTTAAATGGCTGGGACAACAGGCCTTCTGTTGCAGCCCCTGGGAGACCAAGTCACAGGCTAATCAACAGCCTGCAAGGGTCAGCAGCATGGCTCTTACCAGTCTGTCATCAATTTCACTGAAAATAAGTTTAATCTTTTGTGTTAGACTAAACAAGAAGTGAGTGTTAGCTCCCTCCTGGAGCCAGATGGGCCAGAGCCCGTTGCTTTCTAGCCTCTGATACATGCAGACAAATATGGATTTCCTGCAAAGCTTTGTTTCTTTTGGGACCTAAAGTCAGCCAGTCCTTAGCAAGGATTTCGTAGTTGCTGCAAAGGAGCAGTAGAAAACAGCACTTTTACAAAGGAGGAAGAGGGAAGGTTCTGTAATGGACCCCCTGTGTCTTGGACTGCAAAAAGCAAAACCATAAGGAAGGCAAGACAAGGGAAGAGAGTAACATGTAGCAATTGGTTTCATCTTTTTTTGTTACTGCATTTTTTTTGTAGTTCCCTAAGGCAAATTTACGGGTGGGTTGCGTTCCACATTCCTAATATCTTGATTATGTTTTTATTCCTACTTAGGCTCCTCTTCCTTTCTTGTCTCTATGCCTAGGAGCTAAATCTACTTCTGATCATCAAAGAGTCTGGGCAATGCTGATGTCTTTTTCTTCTCCAGCCAGTTTCTGTCTGTGGAAGCACATCTGTGACCCACATTTTGCTTTCAAAATCAGCAAAACAGAGGTTTCCAGCTGGTTTCCTTAATCTCCTACTTTTGTTCAGATTTTAAAATTGTCTTGTGTTTCCTAGCCTCGAGTTCCTAACTAGGCTGGTCAGTGGAGTGCAGCACATAGGGCAAGTCTGATCTTAAGCAGCCAGGGATGGGGACTGGCTTTGAGCAGCCTCCAAACTTCAGGAGGGAAATGGAGCAGACAGAGCATCCACACGAGCACTAATTTTCCCTGTGCATCTCCAAACAGGAACAGGCCCTGCAAGATGTGTAGGCAGAGACAGTTTGCAAGTACACAGACACAAAAAAGCCAGAACCTATCTCAAGTTCTTCTCCTCCTGCTTCCAAGTACTTTGAAAGATCATTTGATAATGCCAGGGCTGTGAAACTACCGAGAAAATGTAAAATATTTTAGGCCTGCATTCAACCCATCCATCTTCACACATATCAGAGGTGTCAGGGCTAGGAAGTTTGTTGCCTTTGGCTCCCTCCATCAGGAGCCAAGGAAGAGAGAGATGCCTCTGAAGAGGGGTACAGACCTCAGTGCTCAGTGGAGAAAGAGAAATGCAATTGTGTTTGTTGCTCTAGCACAGCTAACCACAGCACTGACATCTCAAGTCTGTGCCAAATACTGGACAACACTTTGGTTATTTCAACTTCAAGAATTGGTCTGGCAGTGCCTTGCAGAAAAACGGCACCAGACTCAGAATAAAATACTGCAGTGCCTTCCTTCTCACCCCATCTTGTGTGGGACTGTTCTCTGATCTATTTTCTTGCAAAAGAATTGTCTTTTCACAACGCTATCACCTTCCCTACTGATTCTTAACTGCATCCCACGTGCCAACACACACTTTGCATCAAAAAAGCAGTTAAGAAAGTAGAGCCAGATGTTGTTGTGATGTGGTGAATGGCTTCCAGATTGAGCCCTGACAAGGCGGCATTGGAACAGACTGCCCAGAGAGGCTGTAAAATCTCCATCCTTGGAAGTGCTCAACACTGAGCCACCTGAGCTAATTTTTAAACTGAATTTAACTTTGAAGTTGGTCCTGCTTTGAAAAGGGGGATGGGCCAGATGAACTCCAGAGCTCCAACCCACACTGGCACTCTTGGGTTTGTTCTTTTTCCCTTCACTCTTTCTCTGATAACACTGGGTTTAAAAGAGAGAAAGGGTCTTGGAGGTTTGCTGCAGTTTCCTGTGTCTAGTCAAGCAGGACCATGCAGCTCTATGATAATGTCCACATCCCACAAGTCCCATGGTCTAAACATTTACCTTGCTGGCTTCACCAGGAAGGCAAACATTTAAACCATGGGACTTGTGGGACTTGGTCATTATGCAGGACTGTCAGGACATGATCCATTTTAATGAGCTGCAATTGTTTCTGGCACGCCCAGACTGAAGAAAGAAAAATTATAGGTCATGGTTTTTCATTAATATTCCCATCAGGTGTGTAGATTCCATTTTCCCATCACAGCTTTTGCATTAGAATATGGTTTTCTGCACACCCATCTTGCTCGTG